CACAAAGAGCAAACGTTCATTTCTAGAAAGAAGAAATAAAAGAGACACTTCTTGCTTGATTCACCAGATTTCTGTCCAGTAATGTGTTTTATCATCAGTAATCGGTAAACCTGAAAACAAAACAAAACAGAAAGATTTTTCTTTTTGGTTCATGAACCCAGCATCACTGAGCGCTAACTCACACTACCAGGTCCTCTGTCTGGACGCTTTCATCACAGAAACATGAATTTCAGGTTAAACAAAGATTTATTCTGTTCCTTGATTAGAAACTGGGTCCTGAGCCTCGGTAACAGCAGATCAGAGATAAACCGTGAGACCGGTATCGGATCTCTGAACCAGAATTGGAGCATAACCTGCAGAAAGCTTCCTCTGTCTCCATCAGCAGGTGAGACGGGGCTGCAAGATGGATGATCCAACATCTTACCTGAGCTGGTTTTAAATGTTTTATGGTAATATTTTAAAAGTTGTTCCCATCTGGATTATATTTGTAGTTTACAGGTGAGATGGACTCCATTTTTATCCCTCTGGAGGCAAATGCAGCATAAAAGTTACTTTGTCTGTTTTCCTTTTAATCAAGCAAATCCAGCAGGCCCAACACCCACACACACACCCACAAACACACCCTTATCTGGATGAACCCAGGTGAATGCGCTCATGGTGAGACTGATGGGAGCTTCGCCACCTGCAACCTGCTGATAATGAAGCTGTATTTCAGCCACCTAAAGGCAGCCATCTGTGCTGGGCTCTCCCTGCTGCCTGCACCACCAAAACACACGCACGCACGCACGCACGCGCACGCGCACACGCACACGCACACGCACGCACACGCACACGCACACGCACACGCACGCACACACACACACACACACACACACACACACACACACACACACACACACACACACACACACACACACACACACACACACACACACACACACACACACACACACACACACACACACACACACACACACACACACACACACACACACACACACACACACACACACACACACACACACACACACACACACACACACACACACACACACACACACACACACACACACACACACACACACACACACACACACACACACACACACACACACACACACACACACACACACACACACACACACACACACACACACACACACACACACACACACACACACACACACACACCACTGCCCAGGGACCTCCCCATCACTACGTGACACTTTCATTAGAACACAGGTGGGACGTTGGTGGTGTCGTTAGATCCGCCGAACGCTCAGCAGAACCAGAACCAGCGATTTTAAACTTCACACTAAACGATCACTTACTACACCTGTTCTCATTCTCCTGATCCAGTCCAGAACTCCTGATCCAGCCCTCATCCCTTCCAGTTTTCCTTCCAACAGCCAAGCGCTCCGGTAACCTCTCCAACTGGTTCAGGATCAGCGGTTCTCCAGACCAGGAATTGGTCTTTGGGTTTTTGCTGACTTGGACTCCGTTTTGGAACCAAAACACTTCTAGAGGAACATTTTTGATTCTGATCTCTGAACCATTCAAACAGATAAAGTTCATAACTAAAGGGATGAGCCAGGCTTTTGTTACAGAATAACGAGATACAAGCAGAAGCTCTTAATCCTGGTGACATGGACGTTATTTTCACTTTAGAAGTGGGGGGACACGGGGGGGGGGGGGGGGGGGGGGGTCTTTACAGTATGTTCTAATGGGAAACCAGCTTCAACACAAACGGCTGTTTTCCGCTTGGTCCTAGAGCTCAACCAGTGTCAACTTAATACAGTGTAATATTGTTTTTGGATGGTAAAAAGTGCAGGGGTCCAACCTTGACTTTGGAAAAAGTGGGGGGGATATGTCCCTCCTGTCCCCCCCAAAATTACGTCCATGCCTGGTGATGATGTAAACCAACGGGAGACCCATGGAGAAAATAAATGAAAGGATGATCCTCACGTGGAAAAATGAATAAAATTCCAAAGGAATTCCTCATCTTTAGTCAGGATTCTGATCCCATCTCCTCTGTTATTTCCTGTATCTTCGCTATGGTTTCTAGAGGACATGAGCATTAGGCCGCTACTTCATAGATTCTGAAACGCTCGCCGTTTCCAGTCCACTGGGATTCACGGTTTTTTTAAATTTACATTTTTTCTCAGCAGAACCTCGACAGAAGCTGCAAACCCCGCAGAAAGCCTCCAGTTGTTATAGCATCTGCTGCTGCAAGGACCTTGGTTTAAATGTGCTTCATGTGCAGTAAAAACGCACCTGAACCAGTGGATGAGATGAAAACTCAAACAGAAATATTTGCGGTTTGTAAACGACACACGGATCAGCGAGGCCGGGACGTGACGAGGAAACGAGGAAAATATTGGCAGACGTGTCGTAAAAGCTGAGAAGCAGAGCGGCTTGTCGCTGGAGGAGAGAAGAAACCATGACAACAACCCAAAGATTGGGGCCAACATTCAGAGAAGCAGCACAGCGGGGAGCCGGACCGGTCCTCGCGCCCAAAAACACCCAACAGGCATTAATAACGACTCAGAAAAGAAAGACACGAGAACATAATCCAGGTTTTCGGAGCATCAACCTGTTTAAAACTGAACCAGGGAGGGACAAAGATCCGGGTCTTCAACCAGACCAGAACCTAAACGGATTCAGAATTAAGCTTTCTGAGCCGCAAAATCAGGTTTTTGTCTTAAAAAAAATCAGACAGACGACAACTTGCTGTGAAAACTCAAGTCGCAGTTAGTTTATAGTTTTAAATACTTTTCATTTCTGGCAACAAATAAACCCGACTAGAGAGGAGCAGCATCAGCGTGCAACAATTTCATCTCTATTTCTCCTCGTCTCCCAAAACATCTGATGAATCTCAAACATTTTCCAACAATGCATTCCACAAAGACATCCAGTGTTTGTGTGTGAGAGAGAGAGAGAGACACACACACACACACACACACACACACACACACACACACACACACACACACACACACACACACACACACACACACACACACACTGCGTGAGAGACGATGATGCTGCAGGATAACAGTTCAGCTCATTCAGAGCAGGAGACTAAAATGTTCCCTCCACAAAAGCACAAATAAAGTTACAGCAAGCTTTTATTTTGATATGCTATTTCCTCCTTCAGCAGCACACCAACAGCGTGTAAAGTCATCTAAAGACGGGTGAATTTAACAGTTAATTCTGTAAATAAGCTTACAACAACCTGCACAAAGGTCACCGTTTTCCGCTCCTGAGGCGGTGAGAAAGCACTTCCTGTTTGTGATCATGGACATAAAAAAAACTCATTTAAAAGTTGAAAGAGCAGAAAAATGGAGTCGGAGCTCCGGAACTCGTCATAATCCATCAGACTTTAAGAGGATTTCTGTCCTTGTTTCTGAAAAATGGTCCACATGAAATCCAATACAGGTTTGGACTTCCAGCACCTGAGAGAGAATCTACTCCAACAAACATCTGACCTCACCAACAAAAGCTGGCAGTGAAGACTTTAACTCACTCAGTCACTCAGATCCAGAAACCCAAACAACATCAAGTCAAAAGGGAAAGGACTAAACTTCAACCCCGACACCTTCAGATAGAAACTGGTCCATCCCCAGAGCAGAGCCACCAAAGAGAACCTGAGGTTCGGCGGAGGGTTTGGACCTGTTGCAACCACAAATACACACGAACACATGGGACAACTGTCCATCTATGGATGAGGAGCTCTTCAGAGGACAGAAAGGTCCAGATCACAGGTCTGGATGAGTCCAGATGTTCTGCACTGTTCTCCAACTTTAATTAGGGTAAACTTAATCACTCTGAGAGCCTCATCAATACTAACGATACCTGCAACTGTTTCTGCAGTGTGGTGATGTCACAATGATCCAGCACACCTGCAGGAATCTGATCAATAAACTAAATCACAATAAGTCAGAATCAGTGATGCTTCCACACCTGCAGGCTGCAGGGTGACCCGTAGGTCCCACTGAGCAGCAGCTGCTTTTCAGCTGCAGAGGGGAGGAACTAGCTGCTCACAGATCAGAAAGTTACATCAGCATCCGTGACGCTCGTTTATAATGAGGTGGACTTGTCGGTGTTCTTCGGTTCCTCTGCTGGGGAAAAGCAGCAGAAACGACTCTGGCACAAAGATAACTGGCTGGGTATGAATAACTCACCCATCAGAGGAGAGAGAGGGCAGCGAATCGTTCCTACCTGCTGGAACCGATCACGGCTGGCTGCGTGTGATCACAGATGGTGAGGCATCCAGAACAGGGAACCGGGCCGGAACCACCTGGGTGGGAACCCACATGGCTGGACTGCAGGAACAGGGAACGGAGGGGAGGTTCCCCTAATGACGCTGACGTACAATACTTAGAGATGGATTTATACATCAGACTCAATGAGAGGGTTTCTATGACTGCACAGATGCAGAAAAGTTCATATATTATGGGATGTCTCACTGGATGGTGCTACAACGTCACTGGTTTATTTCGGCATTGATGCTAAGAAGTTTGAACAGACTGGCTGTGATTGCTCTGCCTCCTAAAGTCACCAAGAAAAGGTGCAAAGCGAACTCTGCAGCACTGAAGCTGCAGCACAACCCAAGGGCTGAACGCGTGCGTGCGTGCGCGCGCGCGCAGGGACCGGACGGTGCAGCATCACTGCTCTGCCTCTTCTGCAGAGGCCCATGTGACAGATGGACGGAGTTCAAAGAGAAGGAAACACCACGAGGGCCCATCATCACCCATCTCCCTCTGCCTGACAACAAGCATTAAAGGCACACCGCCGCCACCTTCATCATCATCATCATCACTGAGCAGCTCTGCGTGAACCAGGAGCTTTCCCGCATCCACCGTCACGTTCAGCACACGCAACACCAGAAAACATCAGACAGAGCGCCGTGATGTCACGGAGGCAGGTGCGGTGACGCCGCGCGGAGCCCAGGCGACTCCACGCGCAGCCGCGCGGTCTCAGATGGGCTTTCCACTCACCTGTCTGCCCCTTTCCCAGCGTCTTCTCCAGCCGGTACGGTCCCACATAGTTGGCGTAGTGCCCGCTGTTGGTGTCCTTCCCCGACATGTTGGAAGCCCTTTCCACGCGTGAAGCGGCGCGTGAGACTCGTTGCGGGACGCGGTTCTGCAGCGAAAATTCCGCGGCGCAGTTGAGAGTTCGCCTCGCTCGGTGTTCCCGGTCGCTGCGGCTTTCCTGCCGTTGACCCGCGCGCGCGCGTGTGGACGTGACCGTGTGCGCGTGCTGGCGGTCCTCCCTCTTGGTTCCGGGCTCGGTTCGGCTCAGGCTGCGGTTCTGAACCCAGGTGACATGGTGCTGGAGCCGGAGGAGCGGTGCGCGGCAGCCCCGTTGGGTGTGATCTGATGATGGGACAGCATCTACTGCTGCTGCCGGTCCAGCTGCCTCCGACGGACCGAACCACAAGCTACACTCACTTCCGGTCAGCCTTTCAAAATAAAAGATCTCCTCTGGCACACAATTGTAAAATGATAAAAAGACAAATATGGATTACTTTTATAGGCTCGATTTCATTTTTGTCTTTATCTTTAAAATGACATATATAAGTGGATTAAAAAACAACATATTTTGTTCTATAAAAATCTGTTTTAACCTAACTGACACAAGATTCTGTGTAAAACGAGGTTTTAAGTGAAACTATCGATGAAGATGATCAGCTTAAACATCAGCAGCTGCTTCATTTGTGATCATCTGTAAATCAGATGAGCAGATCTTTTGTTTGTGCCATAATATAATTTTCAGCATTTAGTCCTTAAACTCCCTCATAATTTACATAAACAAAGCAGATCTTCTCTTTACATGTTTTAGAATAATTCTTTTAGGTAAATCAGTGGGGGTGTCTGTTAGCTTTAGTCCTCTGAGATTAATCAGAGTCCAGAATGGGCCAAAGTCATCATTATCAGGTCAGACCTAAACAACAGTCAGACAGCGGTAATGGCTTTTTAAAGTAGAGGGGGTGACTAGAATTAATAAAAACAAGAAAAGAGACAAGCAACAGGACAAAATATGCAAATATCCCTTTGTGACTCTTCTTTAGTCTGTGTTTATAAGTGTAATAATTAATCTGATCAGTTATTTTCACCTGTTTGATGTTTTGTGTGTTTGAAGGCTAATCTGGAGTTATAAGCAGGGTTTAATGGTTTATTTTATGGTATTTTATAATTTTTTGACTCTGTTTTTATCTTTATGATTCTACGACGATATTTGTTTTGTTTTGATGATCTCTGTGATGAGTGCTATATAAATAAAATGTACTTACTTACTTTATATTATTTTATACTTCATACATGAAACATGAATGAAATGTATTTGGCCTATTTACTAAAGTACAGATTTTAATATTTACAAACTCTTTAGTCTTTATTCCGGCATCAGACTGCCAAGAAACTGGAGATGTAAATTAGCCCCAGCTATATCTCACACACATGATCATAATGATATGTCTCCTTACTAATAAACCTCGTTATAGTTTAATAATGATGAATGTCAAATATCTGAAGAACGAACAGACACCGCCACGACAGGTCTTCCTCTCAAACACACTGATCAACACATTATTTTACAAGCTGATTAAATATCTAACCTTGATTTTTTTAAGCAAATTATTTAAGTTTGAGAACAAAAATATAAACGTTTTATAACAGTAAAAATTTCTAAGGTGTCAGAAAAATAATTGCTGCCATGATTTAAATGCAGTTCTAAACTTTATTAATTGGTTTTAGTTATTCGGGATTTCACAGATGGGTAATAAAAATCATTAATTCAAATTTCCTATAAAAATAACAAGTTTCTGTCCAAAGTCAGAATTCATCATCAAACTTTATTCCGGACACTATAAGGTCCATAAAACCAAAAATATTAAAATACTTTACAAAATACAAAAGATAGGAGTAAATGATTACAAGCAAAAAGTTGAGAAAAAGAAGTTGAGAAAAAGAGCAAAATAACAAGCAGCTTCAATTAAATCAGTCAAAAACATAAAGGAGGCAACAGTGGCACAAGCAGGAATGCCAGAGTACACCGAAACAGAAAAAGTATTTTTTATAAAGCAGCAACAACAAACCCCAATAAAAACAGATGCTTTAGTATTTAATTATTGACTGTTTGTATTTTATAATTTAAAAACTTTTCTGTTGGGGTTCAAACGTACTTGTTTTATTTTGAAAGTAATTTAATTAGACTTCCGCCGCCAATGCAACTTGACGCAGCTGCTTTAATTTGAGAATGCGCATGCGCACATTCTTGTCAGTTTTTTTTCTTTCCTGATTGAATTGAAGTGGGGTGAGGGTGAGGGATGAGGAGCTGACAGTTTGTGATTTAATCCATAAATAATCCAAATCTGGTGTAAATTAAAATGTTCTGATGATTCACAGGAAGTCGGTCTGCAGAGTCAGCATGTTGCGAACATTTTTCATCTCTTAATTGGTTTTTAAAATCGTGTTTAATCTATAGATAAACATATAAATAATTTAGTAAATGTGGAGAATCATTATCTGCCACTGTGGGTGGCGTGTGTGTGTGTGTGTGTGTGTGTGTGTGTGTGTGTGTGTGTGTGTGTGTGTGTGTGTGTGTGTGTGTGTGTGTGTGTGTGTGTGTGTGTGTGTGTGTGTGTGAGAACTAAACATGTCACATGCTGGGACACTTTCACTTGATTAAACCGTTGGTAGGTGACAACATCCATCCATCAGTCTCATCACTCCTTCACAACAAAAGCCTCCTGACCCAGCATGCTCGGTGGCAGATGGCCTCCCCACATCCTCCCCCTTGCCTCCCACTGCTTCCTCTGCCTCTCTCTATCCTCCCCCAGCGCACATCGAACCCGTGTCTCTAACAAAGAATGGGGGAGCGGGGAGTCACCACGGGACAGCTCTCCCTCAAATGACTTCATGTTGATTAAAGGAAGAACCATCCTCGACCCCATCCTCCATCAGTAACGCAGGAGGAGGTTAAGACCTTCATCCACAGCTCAATCAGGCGTCTTCTCGTGCTGCTGTGCGTGCTCCGATCTCTGCCGTCTCATCCCTGATGGCTCTAACACAGTTAGACAGCCTCATGACAGTAAATCCACACTGTCCTAATCACCTCTAGTGAAACAATCAAGCAGAACTCCAACGAGAGAGCGAGACGTCTGAAGAGTTCCCTCTGGTTAGCAGGCATGAGCTCAGTGAAAATAAAAGAAATCTGACTTTATATCATCAACTTCTTCAGAGGTTCAAATACGGTACCTAATACCACAAAACTATTAAAGTCATCCGCCATCTTTGATTTAAAGATTGTATGTACTTAGACGGTCTGTGAGCAGCAGAAATGAGTCATACAAGTCCTGGTTTGGATAAATTTGGGATTATTCCAGGTGATGATCATCCAGATTAGTCTATGCAGGATTAGAAGCCTACCAGGTCCAGGACAGAAACCCAGACCTCCCTCTTCCCAGAGGCTTTCTCCAACCCTTCCTGAAAGATCCCAAACCAGAGGGGACATATGACCTCTCCAGTAAGATCTGGGTCTCCTCCCAGAATCTGGGAAACCTCCAAAGGAAGAAGACCAGGAGGTTTCCTGATCAGCACCACCTAAACCGACTCCCTTTGTTAAGGAGGAGCAGCAGATCCAAGTTCGCCCCGGATGACGGAGCTTCTCACCAACCTCCAAGTCTGAATCCAGCCGTCCTATAGGAGGACACGGGATCTGGAAGCCCTGATCGGGATCGTCACCAAAAACGAGATGCAGAGTTTTCCTTTTGGCTCATCTCGTCTTCGCTCAAGACCAGATCAACAGACTCATTAAAGAGCAAGTCACCCCCTGCCAGATTCTTACTCAACTTCCACTTCCTGTTTGAAAAATGCAACAAATGTTGTTGCCTAGCAGACCGAGAGGGCGGAGCCGCTAACAAATACACACACTCACGACATTGTGACATCATAATGTACCATCTAACATCATACTGTACCTCTTAGCCAATAGCGATGGCAGATTTAAATTCAAATGCAGTGCTGAGTTTTTACCTGATGAGGGTGCATTGCTGACAGTTTTAGGCAGAATACTTAAATTTTAACTAAGATGAACTAAAGTTCTGAATTATTGACTACACGTGTCTGCAGCACGATCAGACACTCATAGTTTATCAGCAAAAAAATGGTGATTTGGAGTGACTTGCTCTTTAATGAAGGCAAATGTCAGCAAACACCCATTACCCTATCCTGTTAGCATGCTTAGATCCCACTGATGACCAAAGTAGCCCTTTAACAAGCAGATCAGGTTTTAGATATCTTATAGAAACAAGCACAGAAATTAACTGGAAGATAAAAAGAAATTAATCACTACAAGTTTACTTTTTTTACCATGGCAATGTTTTCCATTACTTAATGTAAAAATGAAGTAAGAATGACATCCCGTGGTCAAATTGGGTTACTGCAGCCCATTTTCAAAACACACCGGTCTCTATCTCACTCTTCTGTGAGTTTCATGCAGTGTTGCCAACTCAGCGACTTTGTCGTTGTTCCCAACGACTTTTTGACCCCCCTCAACGACTTTTTTTCCAAAAAGCGCCTAGCGACAAACCTAGCGACATTTCTCAGGACCTGTTGCTACTTTCTGTAGAACTTTCTTGTAGATATTCCCTACAGATTAGCAACAAAGAAACCATTTGCACTCTGAACCGTTCTTCTGGGAGTAAGGAAAGAGAAGGATAATCTGCACACGTGCACGAGGACTGACAATCATAAACCGTTGTCGGCCGGGCTGATTCGCCGAAGACAAACGTACAGCTGCAGAGCTGAAGACCGCCGATTTACGCCTGCTGCTGCTGCAGGCTCACACTTCTACTAGAGATGGCGCAGGCATCTACCTGCAATCTCTGGTTCTGCAGCCGTCAGACATTTTGGCTTTTCCTGCATTTGGCAAATAAAGTCATCGGGAGTTTCAACTACCATCCTCTTAACACACGCAGCTCTGTGGCGCATCTGAATTTCCTTCAGTGACACAGGGATGGTTACACTTTGAGACACCCGCTCCCTTTTGCTCGGTGCACCGTTATTATCACGATGGAGAGAGTACACAACAGAGAAGTTGAGAAACTATGAGGTGTAAAAAATAGCTTTTTAGGAAAATGTCTGTGAGAATGAGGAGAGCAGGAAGTCTGAGTTATATCCTACAACAGAACTGTTTGGATCACCACACCATATCTGTCTTAATGTCACTTCATTGATAGTTTTGGAATTTATTGTACATTTCAAAGCAATTTGGGCCATTTTAATCATACTAATTAACAACTTTAACACGTAACA